GCACTTCCCGAGGCCTGATATATACCAAAAGTTGATCGATCCGTGCCATGGTGGAAACAAACTTACATATAAAATTTCATCAAAATCGGTTCAGCCGAACTTGAGATACACGCGTGCACACACAGACCGACAGACAGATAGACCGACAGACCGACAGACGGACAGACCGACAGACCGACAGACCGACTGAACGACAGACCGACAGGTTGCTAAAAATAGTTTATTTACACTTCCCTACTATGGAGAAGAACGTTCCCACCTAAAACTCGATATACATAACCTATCATATCCGTTTACACAATACGGTCGGTAATAATAACAATAACAATAATAATAATAATAATAATAATAATAATAAAAATAATAAGAATAATAATAATAATAATAATAATAACAATAATAATAACAATAATAATAATAATAATAACAATAATAATAATAATAATAATAATCATAATAATAATAATAATAATAATAATAATAATAATAATAAGAATAATAATCATCATAATAATACTAATAATAATAATAATAATAATAATAATAATAATAATAATAATAATAATAATAATAATAATAATGATAATATTAATAATAACAATAATAATAATAATAATAATAATAATAATAATAAAAATAATAATAATAATAATAATAATAATAATAATAATATTAAAAATAATAACAATAATAATAATAATAATAATAATAATAATAATAATAATAATAATAATAATAATAATAATAATAATATTAATAATATTATGCAATTCACATAAAAAGCTTAAAAAAATTAGTTAGGAAGCTTTAAAAAAAATATACGCACATATATGTACTTAAAATTCTTGCGAATTTTTCCAAACTATTATAACAATATTTTTTTTGGAAATTTTCTTTAAACTTTTATAATAATATTTATCTGTTATATATTAAAAAAAATAAAACAAAAATTTAAACAAAATAAAAAACGAAATTTTTAAATTAATGCAAAAAAGAAAAATGCGACAACATCCAGGAAAGCATCGATCCAATAACCTCCTGGCTATCAGATTACCACGGTACCCACTAGCCTACGCAGTACCTTGAATTTCCCTTTATAATTCTATATGTTATTCATATTTCGCATAACTCTTCGAAAGCCATCCTATTTTACATTATTGTGCTTATATTACATTATATAGCTACTTCTCAGGTGTCAAAAAGTAAGGGTACTTCTAGAAGGTCAAGAGACATGGGACAAAAGGCATTAGATAGGGTTTTTCCTCTAGGGTCCCTAAAAAAGCATTAATTCCACCCACCCTTCCAAGATGCTTTGTGACCGCTTTTTACAAAATGGTACAACATCCTTTGGGGGTAATTTTTATTTACTTTTGGTAGTGTAAGTATTCTATATAAATTGTGTTTTTGAAGTGTGAGTTATAACAAGAAGTGAACACTTCCTCAAGAAAATTGTTAAAGTTAGTACAACCTACGTTGTTTTATAATAAGTATGTAAGTACGCATTTAATTATGTTTTCTCTTCGCCATCTGCTGCAAAATGTATTGGTAAGCAAAACATAAGTGTACATTAATTTTCTTAACAATTTATTTTTAGGAAAAAATTTAATTAGAAAATGTTATTTTATTGCAGTAAATTTTTACAAATAGGGAATTTCAAAAAAATATTTAGGGGTTGAAACTTGCTAATACTGGTTTGTAGTGGTTAAGCTTTCTTAATTTCATTTTATATAAGAACAAAAAAAAATAAAATAATCAACAAAACAAAGTTCATCTGACAAATCGCACTTTACATGGTTCGAATTCGAAACTTTTTGCATAGAAATCGTGTGTTTTACGCTTTACCCTATATATACTAGGATTAGTGTTTACTGATTATAATTTCACGTGTTTTATTCGTATATGTTATAAAATCCAAATACATATATGCACGGATTTCAGTATCGAATTATTTTATGCATTGTAAAACTACTAGTCGTGTAGAAGGCTTGCAATGCCTCAACTATATATTTTTTTGAATGATAAAATTTGTCAGAAATACAAGAAGTTATTAATTTTTGCTTTTATATACATACTAGAATAAATTCTTATATGCCTGCACAGCATAAAATCCTATAATGAGAATAAATATGTCTTTACTATACACACAGAATATTATTTCATAGAGTTGTTTACATTCAATCGTACATTTACATAAGTGAAATCGTCTGATATAATATATATAGAAGCAATTTACGCAAAAAATGCTGCACAGCCAGACCCGGATTTATCATACATGCAAAGTATGCATTTGCAATGGGCGATAAAAAATAGGGGCGCCATTGAAAACTTAAAAAATCCCTAAATTTAAAGAAAAAAATTTACACCCAAAAAAAGGATTCCATATTTTTTTTTATATATCAATTTATAGCGAAATTAACTTAATAAAATCTACCTACATGCAAACATAATATTTTGTTCCTACACATATTTTCTATTTGCACCATATAACAAAAAATGTTCATAGAATTAAAATTACTCATAGATTTTTTTACTCTACACTACTCTTTCATTCTTATTTTTTATACGAATGCAGAACATATTTTCTTGAATGATATGAATCATCAGATTACAATTATTCATATTATTACTTTTATATACATTATAGAATGAATTTGTATATGCCTATAAACACAGAATATTTCACACAGCTGTATACATTCAATCGTTCATATACATAAGTGAAATCGACTCATATAATATACATACATAATATACAGAAGCAATGTACGCAAAAAAAAAAAATATATTCAAAAATACACATGCACACATAATTTATATTGTTTAATATGAATAAGATCAACACCCATGCGTACACATATAATTATCTCATAAAGCAACATATTTATTTTGCTGAGATTGCTCCCTATCAACACTCGCTCGTACACATATAATTATATCACAAAGCAAGGTTTTTTATTATGCTTAGTGATCGCCCTGGGTACACTCGTTCGTACACATTAAATTTAAAATGTTTCATACATGCAAAATTTTATTTATGCTTAGTTGCCGCCCACTCACCAAACAAACAAACACATTATTATAATGTATTACTCTTTCTGTATACTATTGCATTAGTAAACAACAAGAACAAAAAAAAAGAGAGAGAAGAATGAGAATAGAAAGAAATTAGAAAAAGAGAATGAGAGCAATATTCTTAAATGATGGAAAGCATAGCTTGATATTGAGATTGAGTATACCAATATTTTCTTTTTGTTTAACAACAAAAATTTTAAATGAATTTCAACATTACATGATCGTTATGAATTTCTACTACTATGTTTTGCTTTCGTTTTTGAAAAAACTGTTATCAATTACAAAATTAAATATTAATTGGTAATATCTACTACTTATATTGAATTGGAAAAATGTTGTTTAATAATCAAGCGAATGTTAAGAATTTTATGTTGAATTGGTCTTGTGTAAATCATCCAAATAATAAAAGTAAAATGAAATGGCGCAATAATTTGTTTCACACATTTAACTCCAAAATTAAAAATACATTTATTTTAATAAAATCTAAAAAATTTAATGAACAGTATAAAAGCTTGTACCAATGTACATAAAAAGCTTAGTTTTCAAGTCACAAATTTTAGAACGAAACTTTGATTTTCTTTAAATTTTTGAATGCAAGTCGAAACTTTTTTTATACGCTGCTTCATTTCTCAGGCGTTTTGTGAAATAAAAAGTCAAATTTTATTCGTAAATTTAAAATTCCGAATTAAAATTTAAAATTACGAATAAAATTTCGCTATGTGCAATGATTTAAGTATACATATAAGTAAATAAATTTTTCAAAAAAAGTTCATTTGATATAATCTTCATATAAATCTGATCATAACTTCATAAAAAAACATACATTTAAATAAATTACCTTGTTCTTGAATTTATAAAACAAAAAATTGAAAGTTTAGTTCCAGACTTTAATTTTATAATTCAGCATAATAAGGTTACAAGAAAGTGCTTTATGATGCACAACATGGAATGCCTATTAAATTTTGTTCACAGTAATAAAATTGGTAAAACGGTTGAAGGGGGCACTTTTTAGAAACCGCTTAGGGCGACGAATACATGAGGGCCGCGCCTGTGCACAGCATAATTACGGAGGAAAGGATAAGGTGGGCTGTTGGCACTTTCCAACTCTTCAAGACGTCGGAAGGGGATGTGATTTCACCAGCACTTCTGTAACGGGAGCTGGAGCCAATTATGCCTTTCTTAATATGAATATTTAGGAGTAGCTTGGCTCTCGGATACATTCCCGAGTCCTGGCGCGTGGCTAGGGTTGTCTTTATTCCCAAAGTGGGAAGAAGGGACATGGTGCCCAAGTCATTCAGACCGATTAGTCTCACATTGTTTTTATTGAAGACGATGGAGAAAATAGTTGATAATTATGTCCGGGCGGGCGTGATGGCGAGGAGGCCGCTGAGCGATTGTCAACATGCCTATCGAGCGGGGATGTTAACAGAGACCGCTCTGTTCTGCCTTGCTAGTATCCTAGGGAGCACAATAGAACAGTTAGAGGTTGCGAGCGCCCTGAGGCGTAGGGACGTGGACGATAGCACCCCTCTATGGATGTCCAATATATTGGCTACGAGAGTTGCAGGGGCTGCTGTGTGGCAGAGCACCCTAAGCGCGTGGTCAGGGGATGCCCACAGGGTGGGGTTCCGTCTCCGCTAATGTGGAGTTTGATGGTGGATGGACTCCAGGCTTATGCCGATGATACTGCCATCATCGTTAGAGGTAAGTTTGAGGGGACTCTTTGTGATATAATCCAAAGGGGAAAGAGCATCTGCACACAATCTAGGCGTGCGGAGCGGCTGTAGAGAGAAAATCGGGGGTCAAATACCTAGGAGTGGTATTTGATTCCAAACTTCTTTGGCGAAGTCACGAGGAAGCTGTGTGTAAGTTATATATCCAACTAACCAAACACTTGCAGAAATCAGAGAGTCAAATTCAAAGATTTCTGTTGATTCTGAAAATTAATATTATTCTCATAAAAAATTAAAATTCAAAATTTTAATTTTTGTTTTTCTTTTTTATTATATTTTTTTTCTCATTTTACTCCAAAATTATTTCACACGGTTTTGACCAAATAAGTAAAGTAATTGTTTTTTCATAATTTTCATGAATCTCAAATTTCAATGATAAAAACTTAACAAATATATTTTTTTATAAATTTTCGTTTTTAAGTGCGAAAGACTAATTTCGACACCACTTAAAAACAACCAGATTAGAACATTTTTTTGTTTTTTTACAGGTAGTTTTTTTTGTTTTTTTTTTTACATAAAGATCTATTTTAAAAAATTAAAATAGAGAATATTTTTTGTGTTAAATTTCTTTTTTTTTTTATTACATATTATTGAAATTAAAAGTTAAATAAAATAAATATTGTGAACCTTTGAATTATCGGCGTTTTTCAAGGAAGCTGACGCAATTATAGGATTTACACCGGATGTGGCTTTAAAGTCCTATTTATTCAACATCTTTTTGTCAAAAATACAAGGACCTGCCGCAGTCAGCCTAAGGAGACTGGAAAATGCAACGAGGGATGAAGTAAAAACTCAACTGAAGAAAACATTTCGAGTCCAAGAATCCTAATTAAAACTAAAAGAACAAGCGGACCAAATAAAATTTGTAAATGTAAGTCACTTTTATTCAGAGCTATCAATTGTTTTAGATAAACTTAATTTAA